AGTTGTCGAGGAATGCGGCTTCCAGGTCCTCCCAACACCCAATTGACTCTGCGGGCAAGCTGTTAAGCCAATGCCGAGCTGGTCCTTTAAGCTTGAGTGGGAGATACTTGATGGCGTGGAGATCGTCGCCGCGGGCCATATGGATATGAAGGAGATAATCTTCGATCCAAACCGCGGGCTCTGTTGTGCCATCGTAGGATTCAATGTTCACGGGTTTGAACCCTTCAGGGATTTGATGATCCATAACTTCCTCTGTGAAGCATAGTGGGTGTGCGGCGCCTCTATATTGAGCAATATCACGATGTAGCTCGAGAGAGCATTGTCTGCTGTGTTCGGCCCGGCCGGAGTTGCTGTATCCGGCGCGACGGTAGTCGTCGTGGGTCGTGGGGCGCCCACGTGATCCGTAGATAGATCTGGATTGTCTTGCCTTGTCCTCCAATATATCCCGCAAGTCCGGCGCATTCCCTCGTGGCTTCATACTTTTTGAGCGGTGCCGGGGTACGGTCCTGATGGAGGGCCTAGATGCCTCTCTATCACGACCACGGGGTGGTCGGTCTTCCGTATTGTGCGATGGTGATGAAGGTTTGTATGCTTCCTCCTCTAGTCGGGGGAGCAACTTGCATTTTGGGTAGCTCTTGGAGGGGCGTTCGAGTTCATATTCTTCGGCCGCGAGGACCTCGGTCCATCTGTCGGCCAGCAGGTCTTGATCAGCTTGAAGCTGTTGCTGCTTTTTCTTTAGGCTATTTGTCGTGGCGATAAGCCTGCGCTCTTGTTCGACGGGATCCTCTGGCACGACGAATTCGTCGTCGTTGAGGCTTGCCTTGTCTCCGGAGGGAGGCATGTAGTCCTCATCCTCCTCGTCTGCCACTCTCTCTCGAGGGATGGCTTCCCCGTCCTCCTGTGCTGAATCTGGCTGGAGGGGGTTGTCTTCGGCACTCTCTGGGGTGTTATTATCTCCGGTGTCGGAATCTCCATTCTTACTGTGGCGGGATTTAGAGCGGCGCCGCTGACGTCAGCGCTTGGGCTGTTTCTTAGAAGAATCCGCCTCCGCTGCTTCTTTGCCGTCCCCATCCTTTGGGGTATCCACCATGTATATGTCGTATGACAAGGTGGTCTTCCAGTGCCCTGTAGGCGCTGGTTCTTGATCGTCTCCGGCATCGTTGTCCATACCGTCGATGTCTTCGGAGTCGTAGTCTAGCATGTCGGTTAGGTCGTCGATAGTGGCTACAAAGTGGGTGGTGGGTGGGTTTTGAATTTCTTCGTCGTCCGCATCCCAACCATCCTGACCGCAGTCTGGCCAGGGTTCTCCTGATAACGAGAGATGCTTTAGCGAATTTAGGATGTCGCCAAAGGGTGAGTGCTGAAAGATGTCCGCGGTGGTGAACTCCATGATCGGCGCCCAATCGGATTCGATTGGCAGGGGCGCGGGAGGTTCGGAGTCCGGCAAGGAGTCCGGCGCCTCGGAGTCACGAGCTTTATAAGGGACAAGGTCAGTATTCGGCTCCATCGCCGTGAAGTTGCAGCTCCCGAGGCGGTGTCCAGCCACCCGTCCTCGGTCTGCGTGGCCTGCTCCGAACTATGGGTCAGAGCGGACTCGTGTGTGGCCTCCAGGGCACTGTTCGGCGACAGAGCTAAATCATGCCCATCGTGACAGCGCGGCACGCTCGGCTGTGGCCCGAATCCGTCGAAGATCAAGTCTCCGCGGATGTCGGCCGTGAAGTTTAGGCTTCGAAACCTGACCTGATGGCCAGGGGCGTAGCTTTTGATCTGCTCCAGATGGCCAAGTTAATTGGCCTGCAGTGCAAAGCCGCCGAACACGAAGATCTGTCCGGGGAGAAAAGCCTCACCCTGGACGGCGTTGTTGTTGATTGAAGAAGCCATCAAGCCTATCGGTGACGACACAGAGGAACTCTCAATGAAAGCACCAATGTCGGTGTCAAAACCGGCGGATCTTGGGTAGGGGGTCCCGAACTGTGCGTCTAGGCGGATGGTAACATGAGACAAGGGACACGATGTTTTTACCCAGGTTCGGGCCCTCTCGATGGAGGTAAAACCCTACTCCTGCTTGATTGATATTGATGATATGGGTAGTACAAGAGTGGATCTACCACGAGATCAAGGAGGCTAAACCCTAGAAGCTAGCCTATGGTATGATTGTTGTAATGGTTGTCTTGTCCTACGGACTAAAACCCTCCGCTTTATATAGACACCGGAGAGGGCTAGGGTTACACAGAGTCGGTTATAATGGTAGGAGATCTACATATTCGTATCGCCAAGCTTGCCTTCCACGCCAAGGAAAGTCCCATCCGGACACGGGACGAAGTCTTCAATCTTGTATCTTCATAGTCTTGGAGTCCGGCTGACGATGATAGTCCGGCTGTCCGGATACCCCCTAGTCCAGGACTCCCTCAGTCGCCCTATTGGCGTACCCTTTGGCCAGGATCCTGAAGATCACGTTAATCACGTTGATCGGGTGGAACTGGCGGATGTCTGAGGCCCCAGGAACCTTTGGGATGAGGGTAATGATCCCATAGTTCAGGTGCCCAAGGTCCATGGTCCCAGAGAAGAACTCGTCAAAGAGGGCCATGACCTCCGGTTTGATGGTTTGTTAAACGCTAAACATAAAACTTCACCATAGTACTTGTTCAAACATAAAATGTCACTACTACTCTACTCGCCTGACACATAGTTGGTGTCGACCGAGTCCCAATATGCCAGGATCTCCTCTTGATCGGAGGTGAACTCCTCCTCCTTTGACGAAAGGTTGATCACCGGTGATGGAACAACCTCGTCTTGTTTTTTCATCGTCTTCCTCTTCTCGTGGTCTCGCTTCCAGAAGAACTCGGTCTCGTGCTGGACATATTGTGAGTTCTCCCACGCAAACATCGTCATGGCCTCTGCATTGCTCTTTTTCTTCTTCTCCTCATAGACCGGCATAATGGTCACTGGCAGACCGATGAACTCCGCATCTTCTCGGGTTGCGATCTATGAGAAGTTGAGCTCCTCTCGCGGCCAGCCGAGCCGCCAAGCGGCGATCTCGTAGGCTCGCGTTGTGATGTCTGCCGTCTTGAACATGTCGAGCCAGTAGCGACGATTGTCGCATTGGAACTCAACGTCTAAGTGGCCAGAGCCACGCGCCTGCGCCCTCTTCAAGCCGGTGTTGCTCTTGGACTTGAGTTTCAATGGTATTGCGGCGACGCAGGTATGGCGACGATGCGGCGATGAGGATGAGGACAAGACGATAGTGGCACAGAGGTGGGTCGGCGTCAAGTGGGGACGGGTGGTTTCGGGTGGCGGCCGAATTGAGTGCCGCTGCGGCCGTGGTGCAGAGGTGGTACCGTGAAATAGGGTTGCATGGGCGGATTCGATCGGCGCGGCGGGCGGCGACCAAGGGGGGCAGATCCGATGGCGAATGCGGCGTGCAGTGGGGTGCGGATTCAGCCGATTTGGTGGCGGCAACGGCGCGATGGTGGTGCGGTTGCAAATTTGTTTTACTCCAACCACCCAGATGTTGCATATTTGTAACACATGGTGCCCTATTTTGGTTGTGCTACAAATTAAAAGTAATCTATTTGCATATAGGGCAAAGCACTTTTTTGGCCCCAAAAGTGGTTGTGCCTTATTATTGGGCACCTATTACAGATGTTGGGGCATCATTACTTTTGTAAAGGATACTGGAGTGTCCGCCTCCCGGACATCTCCGCGGGCGAGATTCTCCTTTGCCCCGTCCATTGCGCGGTGGCGTGCCGCAGGGCATCTCGTGGGCTCTTCGTGTCGTACGATCTGCCCGAACAACGCACACCCAGGCGACCCGTCTCAGAAGCCACCATCACGGGGCGATTTTGGCCGCGCTCACGTGCGGCGTCTTGCGCATTGTCCCGCGCGCGAAGGAGAGGTAAGACCCGCCTGTCGGGATCCTCACCCCACGCCGGGCTGGTTCGGTTGCGACATGAGGGGGATGTGTTGCGCTCGCGGGCGCGCGGGGCTCCCTCTGTCGGGTTGGTTCGCTCGCGCCAGCCAGACCCACCCTCGTGATTTTATTTCCATGCGCACTCAACACATACTCTAGTGCGCGGATGATGCGCCAGGCAGAGTATATGTTAGCAACATGGAGCATATGTTGCATGTGCGTGAAGTACAAGTTGCACTTCATGAGGAGTACAAATTGCACCAGAGTACATGTTTGACTTTCACGGCGTCTGAAGTACATGTTGCGTCGCGACAGATCGTCTACGTTTACAATCCATCAGGTTGGGTCATGCAGGAATTGAAAATACCATGAACAGGCAAAAAGAACTGTATGGCAGGCAAGTACAAATTACCAGACCTAAACAACACCAGCCGTGAGCATAGTGCGGGCCTATTCAAGGCCTGAAGGAAGTACAGTGTTTTGGAAACAAAACCTAGTAATATTAAAATTTAACAAATTTCTCACCAAGAAAATTTTCTGACTACTAAGACTTATTTTTTGCGGGGATTCTGAATACTAAGACTAGTTATTATAAGTGAACATAGGCAAGAAAAGCTTACTGAAGTGAACATTCCATGGGCAGAGAATCTAAACTCTATTAAAAAAACTCAACAAACATGCATTAGCACTTGTGGCATTTTAATCTATAAACACTAGAATACAAACTCAAAGAATTAAGGCATTATTAACCACTGAGATCGAAGTATGAGCAACCCAATTACAAGGTGAAAGGAAGCATCAGCTACTGCCTGAAGAACACATAACACAGAAAAAAGAATACAGGTATAGGAGTGAAAAGGACACAAAAAAAAACAATTAACTGCAGTAGTCCTCGATGACCACAAGAAATATGGGCAAGCAGTACCTGCCAGGGCAACCTACAGGGTGATCCATAAGAATGTGTTATTTTATTTCTCTAAGATATACAACCTGATCAAGACAACATATAGACAGGTGGCAAAGTTGCATCAAAATGACGCACCGAGGAAAATTGGTAGCACTTTACATGAACCTCGCATTGCACATGTTGTCAAGTATCTGAAGGCGTGTCTGGAGCTCCCGGTTGCTGCTGAGGTTTATTAATAATAAGGGGCGACAATGCTTTGACTACAATGCTCATGCTAGGTCTAAACTCAGACTCGTATTGCACACAGAGCGCTGCCACCGCCGCGAGCTGCACAGATAGTAAATAAAACATTGATATGTTAGAATTTCACAATTCTAGTTCAAGCAATGCGGATTTTCCCTAACAATTCATGGCAACTTGAAGATTGTATCAAAGCTAAGAAATCAGAAATGTCCACCCATTCCTCAAAGAAAGAAAAACTAGAGCTCGCAATGCAGTTTTTCCCTAGCACAAAGCTGAAGAATATTTGAGCAAAGTTGAGAAATGTCCATCCACTTCCTAAATAAAAACCATCTTTGGATATATTAAGCATGTACATAGTGTTGTTCTCATCAGGCCGCAGCCACTTTGAGTGGCTTTGTAATTGTTGGCCATCTATAGCTTCCTTTTTAGCACAAAATGATACACATATAGATGTGTACAAAAATGGTGCTTCACAAGCGCATATCAGCATATGCGTTAGGGAGGAGAGAGGAAGGTATACCTTGGCAACTCCTTTTGGAGGGTACTCTCCGTTTAATCTTGGATCAACACATTGTTTTACCTTGTCCTCACCAAGCCTTGGTGTTGCCTGGTTATAAATTACACGAAACATTGTAAAAACTTTACTGACGTGCCAAACAACAAAGTTATCCAGATATGTGCAGAACTGCTTACACATAATCCAGAACAAATATGTTATATGGAATTATAGAAGCATGCATTATTGCATCTAGTGCCAGAAAACACAAGGGGGTTGAAGTTGAGCATAAATATATTACAGCTTATGTCCTGTGAGAATGGGGCTGTTAGCCTCAACCTTATTGAGTCTATTATTATTGCCTCTATAAATCGACCTCCATCAGGACAACACCACAGACAAAGAAATGACAGCTCTTCCCCTTTGAGGGCAGAATCTTGTTGAATAATAGGGTGAACAGAAGAAGTGAATGCATACATACCCAGGTAACAAGACTCTGCTGTCCCCTTGGCATCGTGTGATCTACTGGTTTCCTTCCAGTTAGGAGCTCCAAAAGAACAACCCCAAAGCTATACACGTCACTTTTTTGTGTCAGTTGGCCAGTCATGGCATACCTGCATGGCATAGGACACCGCTTATGTGTTGGAATCAGGTGATTACTATAGTTTGCCATATCTATTCAGTACCTAAATATTAAATATTAAGTGTTAAAGAAACTTCAGTTGCAAAACACAAAACTGAAGTTCACTAGAATTCTTTCTTAGGCTTTGTTCGGTTAATCCTCTCCCCAAGAGGATTGGAGGGGATTGGCAAGGATTGGTTCATATTTTGACATAGAAGAGGTTTAAATCCTCCTCAAACCCCTTCAATCCACTCGGATTTACACGCAACCGAACAAGGCCTTACTGTGATGATTTGGTGAAACCCCCAACAGATTATTACTCAGGACCACAATCAAAAATATATTATACAGAACTAGGGAAAATATTTCAGATATATAAGTCAAAATAATTACTCGGGAGCATGATATCCAAAGGTTCCAAGCACACGAGTAGAATGTAGACGAGCAGCCATATCTGGCGATTGATTTGAAAGGTTGAAATCTGCAATTTTAGCTTTGTAGTCCTCAAACAAAAGTACATTGCTCGACCGTATGTCCCGATGGACTACAGAAGGCTGGACCTTCTCGTGAAGATACTCAAGCCCTTTTGCAGCATCAACAGCAATGTTGATCCTTTGCATCCAGTCAAGTGCTGGGCCAGGCTGTGCACCAGCAACACCCTTTCTCCCTGTTGAAAGAGCAAAATTTCAAAAAGAATATGCACGATGTTATATACGTGTAGCTTTGATGGCAGGATGCACGGAATCGACATACATAAAACCTTGAATTAGCTTTATGATAACTCTTATGTGTCTGCTAGATAAGTACCATGCAAAATATCATGTAGAGAACCCATAGTAGCAAATTCGTAGGCCAGTAAGCGTTGATCTCCTTCCAGACAGTACCCAAGCATGTCAACAAAATGCTCATGTTTTAATCTAGAAATAACGGAGACCTATAACCAAAGAAGGAAAAGGCCCATAACAATTGGTCAATAAAATTTGTAGATAACTTATAATTACATTTGCAGATAGCTATATACCCAGCAACCATACCTGCGCTATAAATTCATTGTCAGGCTCAGGGTCTGCTGAAGTATCAAGCTTTTTCACAGCCACATGTGTCCCGTTCTCTAGAACAGCATAATACACTCTTCCATACGAACCCTCACCAACCAAAGCTTTTGACCCAAAATCATCCGTCTTTTCTTTCAGTTCATCAAATGACAATTCAGGTACTTCAATGGAGGGAGGTGCTTTTCCATGATCACCAATTTGAGTAAAACCATTACCTGAAACCCATATGTTAAAATGGATATGGTGCCAGCAGCAGAAACACAGAATGCAGAGACACAGAGAGATATTATGCAGAATGCGCTGATATATTATCACCTACGCTTGACAAAAAGATATATGATATCACCTACTCCTTCCTTCCATAACTATCATGAACTACTGGATAACTGAACTTTGCAATAGTTCAACTGAATAACTGAATCAGCAAAAACCATCAGCTGATCAATGCCGTTCAACTGTACCAGACAAGTTTCCTCGAAGACCTTGCATAATAGACTGTCATGTTAGTCACCAAAAAAGACAGTCTAATTGGTAGTTACAGATAGCCACGGAGGAAGGAACTTCAAGCTTGACGTTGATGACTGAATAATTGTATTAGTTAGACTAGTCTAGACCATGTGACAGTACAGCTTGCCTGTTTCAGTCAACTATCTGCTAGATACAGCTAGCAATGCATGTACCCAACAAAGTTGTGTATCGCTATTATACGTACTATAAAATAAAAAAACTTGTTTTCCATCATAATGGTAGGAGGGAAATCAATAACCCCAAAACCGATTGCAAGTGAGACAAGTATGCCCAAAGCTCTATAAGCTAGCAGGGGTGAATTACTCGCGCAGTCCCTTGGTATCAATTCCTAATAGTACAAACTGCTGGAGTATTTGCATTAGTCCTTTATAAGAAATGACAACTGAACATGTACAAGTGTGGAAGCATGATGTGTCAGTCAGTCAGAAACTCATTTATACGTTCAGACTCGCGAAGCAGGGCATGCTCTTCCAGTAAAGAACAGACGTACCATTTGCCCTTTCAGGACTGCTGGGAAACTCATCCCCGTTTTCCTGATACGGTGTGTCAACATGTGCGCAGCAAAACCACCGCCGCATAATGACCAGCCGATCGACTTTCTCCTTTTGCTCACTTCTTGCCCCTGACTCAAGCGAAACCAGATTTGACATTAGCACAAACGGTCAGGCCCATACACGGCGGAGGCATACACAGTAACACAGATGACGGAGTCAGGAAGCCTCACCTTTGCTGCGCGCGGCGGCGCGAAGCAAGAATCAGACGGAGGATGGGGGCGCAGATGGTCTTGGGGGAGGAAGAGACCCTGATCAGCGGAGCTACCTGCCTATCTGGGACGGCGGCGATGAGGGAAAGGGAATGGGACGGGGAAGGGAAGAGAAGCGGGACGGGACGGGGGAGGTGGTGGCGATGATGATGGCAAGGGAGTACTGGCTTGGATTTCAAGCCAAAACGAGCTTTCCCTCTGTAATCCTCCTGTCGTCGGTCGCCGCCGATTTTATTCCAGCTCGGCTCCTCCTGCTTTCCAGCTCGCCGCCGTCCGGATTGATTTTGCCTAACGTGTTTGGTGATGATCATTTAATTGATTTAACTGGCTCATCATTGCTGTCGACTGATTGTCTCGGCTTTGGATTTGGTTTCGTGGCGGTTGGCGGTGATTCTGCACTTGGCCAGATACCACTAGTGTACAGCCAGCTCCCAGACAAAATTTCGGTGTTCTTGTTGGGGGTAGGAATCAAATAATGGGATCGCCGTCCTTTGGCAACACAGTCATCTAACTGAATTAGTCACAACCCACATCATCATAAAAGATATTATCAACGCCCCAAATTACTTATCTTAAATTTATCTAGATACTAGTGTTAGATATATCCGTATCTAGACAAATTTAAGACAAGTAATTAGAACGGAGCGAGTATTCATTAAACCAATAACTACAATTTATGATCACAAGATTTAGACCATCTTCCACATTGGATGGATAAAAATATTATTTAAAAAATCAATTCTTATATCCTATAAGAATATATTCTTGATCCATGAGAGTATTCTTCTATATATTTTTTAATTTAAGTGTAGTCTTGTTCTGCTTACTCTCGCAAAAGAAAGTCTTGTTCTGCGTAGAGAGCAGATAGATCCAGGAAGATAACCATGAGACCTAAATATGGATAGCTATTAAGAGATACTCCCTCCGTCCTTTGAAGAGTGTACTTCCAACTTTGTTGGAAAGTCAAACCTTTTTATGTTTGACCGTATTTATACAATAATGCACCAACATTTATGCCATCAAATTAATAGCATTAGATTCATGATAAAATATATTTTCATCATATACCTATTTGGTTTCATAAACATTGATATATTTTTGCACAAACTCGGTCAAACATTGAGATAGTTTGACCCTCTAATAAAGTTGGAAATACACTCTTTAAAGGACGGAGGGAGTAATTACTTGCCATGTTAAACGTCGGGTCTTTAGATTGACATATTTTGACGGCCGAGATCAACATCTTTGGTGATAAACACATGAGTGGAGGGTGGATTTGGTTCTCCACTCTTTGTGCTTTTACAGGGTATATGATGGCTGAGATTAGTCAGGTGTTTTAGTGCTATAAACACGTTTGGTGCTAAACACGAGAGCGACATGGATAGTAGAATCAGGGATAATGTATGGGTAGGGTGGATTTGGTTCTCCGCTCTGATTTTATAGGGGTATATAGTAGAAGATATCAAGACACGATATTGTCCATCTCATCACATAACATCGCCTGCGTAGCTCTAGAGGACCACGTCACGGGCGACCTAGCTGCCACCCCTGTTCCTCTCCTCCACCACTCTAGTCTCCTCACCGTTGTCGGATTAGACCGATGGACAACGCCCGTTTTGATATGTGATGTTTGCAGGGTGAGTTCCCTCCCATGGAGTCACGTTGCGGCCCCGACCGACGTAAACCGCTTGGGAGTAGTGTTGTAGGTGGTGGCTTACCTTGTCGTCGTGATAGGGGAGTCCGACGCGGCTGGCAACCCATAGCCCGGCTGGATTGATGGGAGTCAAGCAGAGAGTGGTGGATAGACTATTAAAACTAGAGGTCTAGTCCATTTGTATATTGAACCTAGATTTTAACTTAGCTAGAGGTTGAATACAACATGTTTTTAGGAAAGCCTTCATGGCGAGCTTTATATCATCTGAAATAAGGATAGATCGTCAAAAATCAACCTAAGCAATAGCATCAGGGGGTTCTCCGTCCACATTTCTGGCGAATGAACCCAAGCTATACTTGCTAATTCATGAGGTACACAATCAGTTTCTCAAGCACAGTGCTCAAAAACAACATTGTGAAAATCAACTATAGTGTTGAAACAATCATTTGTGATGGTGCCGCCACCAATGGGATCCTGCACTATTTTCATACATTCCATCGGTTGGAGATAGTCGGAGTGGACTATCAAGTTCTAAATTCTCATGCTTCCAGCTAGATCCAAGCCTTGTTTCAACGCCATGGCCTCAACAGTTTAAACATCTGCTGCAGGGCCGATGAAATAATTTGCCCCCACAACTAGGTCGCCAGAATCATCACGATAACCACTCATGAAAAATCAGACCCATAAGCTTACGAGAAGGAGGCATCAACCATTAATCTTCAATGTCCAAGAGGAGGTCGCTTTCAAAAGTAGTGTTTTGTCGGACGGGCTAAAGTGCATAAGGCATGGTTGTAATTCAATGCAAGACTTTGAGTGGATAGGGCGGACCGTTCCTCTGACCAAACTTGTTCGTTGTTCAATTCTGCCTTCTCTCCAGCCATAAATGCTTGATTGTTTGGGAAAACATTTGCAAACCTAAGAAACTTGATGGTCTTGGAAGATTTAGCTACACAAAACAATTGCCTTCTAATTAAATTTGTCTACGAATACCTTACTCATAGCTCCACACCCCAACTTCTTTGGATTTCTTAGTTAGATCAATAACACCTTTGCAACCTACCACACAATGCCTCCTGCCCTAAACCTTCCTTCCTCACAAATGCCATCCAACCCCAGCTACCCACACTACTAAACATAACCTTTGTGCTCACAAACAATGGCCAAAAAACTTTTTTCTGGTATGACACCTGGCTCCATAGCACACCTCGAGCCAAACTCTTTCCAAGCCTACCCTGCAAAAAAAGTCTTCCCGAGCCTCTACTCCCCACTCCCACTCCACCAACATGCACATCCTAGTCTCACACATCATGCTTTATGGGCTACTTGCGAAACCTCATGAACCGGCTGACCACTCTTGCCCCAAACGAGTTTGCAGCTCTTTCTTTGTTGTTACATGATGTCCAGTTGTGGACAAGTGCTACCTTTGTTGGGAAACATAGCATGGAAAACAAAAAAATTCTACGCACATGCAATGATCTATCCATGGAGATGCATAACAACGAGGGGGAGAGTGTGTCTATGTACCCTTGTAGACCATAAGCAGAAGCGTTTATTCAAGGAGGTTGATGTAGTCGTACACCTTCACGATCTGCCCGATCAAGTACCGAATGCACAGCACCTCCGTGTTCTGCACGCGTTCAGCTCGGTGCCGTCCTTGCCGTCTTGATCCAGCAAGCGCAGAGAGGTGGTGATGAGTTCCGTCAGCACAACGGTATGGTGACGGTAGTGGTGAAGCAATCCTGCAGAGCTTCGCCTAAGCACTGCGATGATCTAGAGCGGAGGAGTAAACTAGAGGCGGAGGGGTGCCGACACACGGCGTGGAATAAGCTGTGTATTATGTGGCACTCCTCCCCACATATATATAGGTGTGGGAGGGGAGGAGGCAGCCCTAGGGCGCCTCCAATAGGGCCGGCGGCCACCCTTGAGTTTTCCTAGTGGTGTGCCCCCCTTCCATATAATGCACAAGGGAGAAGGAAAGGGGGGCGCCCCTTCTCTTTCCTTTCTCCCTTCTGGAGATATGGTAGGAGGAGGTGGCGCCTCCCCCTTCCATCTAATTGGTCGTGGCTGCCTTAGGGGGTGCGCACCAGCCCATGTGGGCTGGTGTGTTCCCTCTACATGGCCCAATAAGGTCCAATACTCTCCCGGTGCCCCCGAAACTCCTTCCGGTGCATTCCAAAACCATTCCGAAGACCAAATAGCATCGTCCTATATATCAATCTTTACCTCCAGACCATTCCAGAGCTCCTCGTCATGTCCGTGATCTCATACGGGACTCCGAACAACATCCAGTCACCAAAACACATAACTCATATATTACCAAATCGACATTGAACGTTAAGTGTGCGGACCCTACAGGTTCGAGAACTATGTAGACATGATCGAGACACCTCTCCGGCCAATAACCAATAGCGGAACCTAGATGCTCTTGTTGGCTCCTACATATTCTATGAAATTTTTTATCGGTCGAACCGTTATGACAACATACGTAATTCCCTTTGTCTATCGCTATGTTACTTGCCCGAGTTTCGATCGTCGGTATCTCCATACCTAGTTCTATCTCGTTACCGGCAAGTCTCTTTACTTGTTTCGTAATACATCACCTCGTGACTAACTCCTTAGTCATTTTCTTGCAAGCTTATGATGTGTATTACCGAGAGGGCCCAGAGATACCTCTCCGATACTCGGAGTGACAAATCCTAATCTCGATCTATGCCAACTCAACAAACACCTTCGGAGATACCTGTAGAGCATCTTTATGATCACCCAGTTATGTTGTGATGTTTGATAGCACACAAGGCATTCCTCCATATCCGGGAGTTGCATAATCTCATAGTCGGAGGAATATGTATTTGACATGAAGAAAGCAATAGCAATAAACTAAACGATCATTATGCTAAGCTAATGGGTGGGTCTTGTCCATCACATCATTCTCCTATGATGTGATACCGTTATCAAATGACAACTCGTGTCTATGGTTAGGAAACCTTAACCATCTTTGATCAACGAGCTAGTCTAGTAGAGGCTCACTAGGGACACGGTATTTGTTTATGTATTCACACATGTATTTAGGTTTTCGATCAATATAATTCTAGCATGAATAATAAACCTTTATCATGATTAAGGAAATATAACAATAACCATTTTATTATTGCCCCTAGGGC